TCATATGCAACGTTGGACAGTTTGAAGGGGTAAAATTTAGAAAGATTGCGCTGTCGCAGTAGAATATTCGAAAAAGTTAAAACGAAGTCCCGAAGAATTTGCATCTTTCTGTCATAAATAATATTTTCAAGTAAGTATAGTAGTTAATAGAATTTCCGAAACTGTGCTATTTTCAGGAGTAAGAATTGGTGGGCACATTCGTGGTTGCATGAAAGATGTGCTTATCAAAGGTTTCAACGAAACCATAGTTGGATGGTATCGATGGATGCAAAGGGATTCATGCAGACCCTACCGGTAAAAAATTCCTTGCCTGCGTCTTGTGTTTTTTAGATTTTCTAACTCGAAAAATTTCAGGAAAAAGGAGCTATTCAAATTAGGCGGCGATCAAGTTGACGAATCCACCATCGACGTATGCACTTGTTATGCAGACTACTGTAATGGAAGCAATGCCACTGCAGTGTTCACTTGGTTTTCTTCAATGGTGTTACTCACTTTGGTACTGCTCCTTCTTTGATCATGTCTTTTCAACACCTTTCTGATTCAATTTTTCACAGCTTATTGTGATACTGATGCTGACTCATTCCACACCATCTCCATGTTAACCTTGCAAGTTCTTGCCCCACTGCAAAGTAGTTTCTTTAACCACTACCTTGCAATTTACTCGTGGATCCTAATAGCAATCGCGGTTGAGATGTTGATGATGTTAGGAAAAAATAGCAGGGAACAGCCGCTCTTTCTTTTTATGTGACTGTTTCCGGTCAGCCTTTTCCTTTGATTTCGAGTATACGGGTGATAGTTATTTCCTCAAAATGTAAAGATTTGCATATTTTTCTAGGCAATCTAATCATATGGTGCTCAATACATTTGCATAAAGATTGGCGTATGTTGTATAATGTTTCATATTTTTCAAATTGCGTATGTTGTATACTGTTTCATAGTCTTTGAACCTTTCCCATAGGCAAGATAAAAAAATGCTTTGTTTGAGAATGCCTAAACCATAGGGAAATGGTTGACCCATTTGCTAGGCTCAGTCACATTTGCAAGAGTCTACGATGTCCGCGTGCTCCTTCGGAGAAGATACGACTAGGTCGGGAGCTGGGTGTGAAAAGTTTATTCTAGGGCTTAGAACGAACAAACATCAACCTTCTAAAAAAGAAGAAGGTAATTTACCATTTCATTCTGAAGGAATATAAGCACTGTTTAAATCGCAGGACACCAAAAATTACGCATAAACTGGTATGTTGGGAATAATTCATTTTTTTTTCGGAAGCAAGAATAAGACAACCATAAAGCAGCATCCTTTATATGCGTACCCTCCTCCCCCTTCCTCGCAAAGAGTTAGGAAGT